CAATTGGAATGATCTAATAAGGCTTGTAACTGACTGTTCATCACAGAAATGTTCAAGCTGTAATTAGAGGTTTTTAAAAAAAGAATTAGTTAAATCATATTTATTATCCTTATAGCAAAAATAATCTCAAGGAAGTTGTGTGGTTACAAAGGAGACTAAGACGGGGTGGTTAAAAATAACATTGCTTAGCCTTAAAATCCATTAATTTCCATGATCCCAATGTGTGCCTTGCACACACTTCTCAAAGCTCTCTATTCTGCATTGCATTCACAATTTAGATTTAGAGCGTGTCCACTAAGCTCCACTGAAAGCTAATGGTGTGTCTGTGCTACTCTGCATGTTTCAGGGACAGGAAAAAAAAAAATAATTAGAGGCTTTGCAGTTCTTCATCTGTCTCCAAATGAACCTTGGCAGTTCGTTTTCCATGTGCAGTCCTGAGACAGAACATTGCTCACAAAACACAACCACATTTACTGTTAAAATGCCATTGCTGCTTGAATGAGAAGAATAGAAATGAAGTTCTCTTTTAATGGGTGGATTTTAAAACAAAAATGTTTTGTTTTGCTTCAGTGCGAGTCTGATAATAGAACTTCTAGATTCAGACAGGGATAGACACAGGCATTGCAGATGCTCAGCATGGCAGCAGTTTTTTCTTTCCTCACAGAAGTCTGAGGGCTAATACAAGCTCTCAAAATGTTTGCGTCCCAAATACAGGCTGAAAGAATCCCATGAACTTGGCTGAATTTTCTTAATTGTAATGACCACTGTGGCCACTGCATGATCCCAGAAATACTGATGGTCCTTGATTGTACCTCTTTTTGTGTCATCACCTGGAATTGGTTGATATTCACAGCTGCCCATTCTGCAGGCCTTTTATGGCTCTGAAGGATCCTTTACTTCTAGTCTTAAACTTACTTCAAGGCCAAAGTAAAACTATAAGGACTCCTTATTTCAGAAACATCTCATTTTATGCCTCATCCTGAACCTGCAGAGCACAGACAGTGCTTTAGGTGTCACACATATACAAAAGAGCTGTATTTGATACCACAATTCATATTTCTAGATGCTCATTTAGACAATGCAGCTTTTACACAAAATAAAGCTTTTTATTGAAGTAAAACTCTGCTAAGAAATGTGAAGTTATAAAAATGCCAGTTAGTTACTTGGAGCCTCCTAGAGATGAATTTCTGGATTTTGTGATTGGAAATATAATTTTGTAGTTTATTTTTGTTGCTAGCAGTGTAAGATCTTAGAGAGGAGTCCTAGGTTTTGTTCTTCTCTGATCATCTTTTACTAAATTCCAGTCAAGTATCACAGCTCTGTGCAAGTCCAGTGAAGTCATTGGGATTGCCCAGGTGCAACCACAATGAAGACCCTGAATTTCAGCACTGGATCTACAAAGCAGGATGGAGAAGAAAGAAAATCTCTGGTTGTACTCCCCAAGTGCAGGTTGAGCTGGCACTGCTGATGGTTAGAAACACCTGCTTGGAGGAGGTGTCGTCTTGAGGGAAAATATCCACTAATAACTGAAATAGCTGTGATCTGAGCAAAGTGGCTGTGGTTTAATTCACAGAGAAACATAGAACTGTTTTCAAAAGCTGCCTGGTACTGTCCAAGTTCAGGATACTTCCAGGTTTCCACAGCCCAGAGGCCCATCCACCTGAAGATGCAGAGCTGCATCTTTGCCATGTTAAGTAACTCATATGGAAATAAACATCCAGAAAAATATAGAAGGGGTTTAGTTTTATCTTATTTTAAAAATTTTTAAATTTCATTTTCTATTTTTTGATAGGAAAAGAGCTGTTTCTCTTCAAGGAATACATTCCACACGTGATTAAACATTAAAACAGGAACACATCACTGCACACAGGCAAAAACCTGCTTTTTCCTCCACTAGAATTGCAAATCCATCATTGCATTAAAGGAAAACGAAAGTATGATTTTTAAAGTACATCTTCTAGTTTGCCTCTGGCACAAAACCAAACCATTTCTATGGTGGGGTTTTCTGTCTGCATATAAATATTCCCCTGTAACACAGTTTATCTTGGGGAATGTTCCTCAGTGTAACATATCTGTCACTGAGATTGTTCTGCAGATATTATCCATTTCGTCTTGTTATGTCAATAAATAATTTTACAATTATTGGGCTGCTCCAGATAGAGGATCATCCAGCCCAGCTCCTGGCCCTGCACAGGATCCCCCAATAATCCCACCCTGTGTGGGGCAGTGTTGTCCAAATTCTCCTGGAGCTCTGGCAGCCTTGGGGCTGTGACCATTCCCTAGGGAAGTGGAAATTCCCTTTTTAGTGCCCAACCACCCTCCAGGGGAATAACCTTTTCCTGCTATCCACCCTAAACCTTCCCTGACTCAGCTTCCTCCCATTTCCAGGGTCCAGAGATCCTGTCTCTGGTCACAAGAACAGAAGTCAGCTTTGCACTGCCTGGATGGACTGGGAGCTCTGGGATGGATGAGGATGAACTGGGAAAAACTGAGATGGACAAAGAGCCCTGGGAGGGACTAGGAGGAGCTGAAACTTCTGGGATAGACTAGGACAGACTGGGAGATCTGGGATACTGAGTTAAATTTCCAAATTTGTTTTTGGCAGTGTATGCTAAGCAGCTCAGTTTCTTCATCCAGTGTTGCCTTTATTCTCATGTTGGCTTAGCAACTCCTCACGTTGTTCAGAGCTCCCTTTGGCTGAGTGCTACAGTCAATGGCAAACTCATGGGAAAATAAGGTTCAAGGAACAAAATACATGGAAGAGGAGCTGAGAAGATGGCCTGCTGACCATCCTGGTGTAACCTCAGCTAGCAACCACTCATTCCCCAACAGCAGGATCAGGGGGAGAATGGGAAGGGTAAAAGGGAGAAAATCCCTGGTTTAGGTTGGATATTAGGAAAAAACTTTTCACTGAAATAATAATAAAATACTGGAATTGTCTTCCTAGGGAGGTGGTGGAACCACCATCTCTGGATATGTTTAGAAAAAGACTGGAAGACTGGATTTGGCACTTGATGCTATAGTCTAGTTGTGGTGTTAGGGCATAGGTTGGACTTGATGATCTTAGAGGTCTCTTCCAACCTCATTATTCTGTGATTCTGTGATAAAGGCAGCTTTATAGCAAAACAAAACAAGGAATTAATTCCCTGCTTGCCATGGTTGGCAGGTGTTCAACCATCCCCAGGAGAGCAGCGCTCCATCACATGCAACAGTTTCACAGGAGGACAGACGTCATTACTCTGAACATCCCTCCCTTCCTCCTTCTTCCCCCCACTTTATACAGTGATCATGATGCCATAACGTTTGGAATGTGCCTTTGGTCAGTTGGAGTCACCTGTCCTGGCTGTGTCTCCTCTTGAATTCTTTCAGCAGTGTGTCAGCGGTGTAAGCTCTGCTTCACAATAACAAACCCATCTCTATATTATCAGCCCTCTGTTCAGCACAAGTACAAAGCACAGCCCCACACCAGCCACAGCCCCATACAGCCCCTAGTGAAACTGTAAAATGTGGTGTCCTTCAGGACTTCTGGGAATATAATCCCTTAGAACTTCTTCTGTCCCGTAGAATTGCTGAGTGGTAACAGCCAAAATGCAATGAAATGCATGTGTGCATTCACAGGAATGCTTTTTCAAGTAGCCTTCCAGCTACGTGCTGGACTCTGTGTATGAACTGTAAAGAATATTTTTGTGGTCTGTACACTGGGCCAAATTCTTGGTGCTTCTGGTTGGGTCTGCTGTGTCCCAGTGCTGCCAGGATTGTCCTGAAGGAGATGAGGTCACCAGAGGGGCTGCTGAGTGACCCACAATGTCTGGGCACCACCACCATGGCAATGGATGTGTAGGCAGGGTTGTGTCCGAGTTTAATTCCACATCCCGGTTAGAAAATCCACAGCTGCATTTCTGCACTTAAATGCTGCAGTCCTAATTCTACTTTCTCTTACAAAGGCACAACGCTCCTAGATTTTTATGTTTATCCGTGGGCAATTGTGCCTTAGAAATAGTTTATAGGAAACCTTTGACCTGAGTTCTAATCTGATTTAAATTCATTTAAATTTAGAATCACTCTGGGCTAACTCCAGTGTAAGGGTAGTACTGGTCCATGGGGCAGCAGTGGTGCTTCACAGAAATACCAACAGCAGCTGGCTTTGTGTCCTTAGTTAATTTGATTATATAGTTTCAGTTTAACTTAAACAAAGCAGCGACCTTATTATTATTTTAAGAAACCTATTTTGAGAGGAGGGAATCGTATTTCTCACATAAATCCATCTTTAAATGTCTTCTTTAGATGTACATGCAGCTGGGGCTGGAGTTGAGTTTGTGTGAGGAGGGGAAAAGCGTACTGGATTTCACTGATCACAGTTGCTTTAAATTATGCAGGGAAGAGGGAGATGCTGTTTATGCATGAAAAAAACAAGGTTGGCAGCATGGATCAGAGAGGCCTTGCTTTTGTAGTTTCCCTATGCTATAAAACATGTACCAGGGGAAGGATTGGGGTATCTTGCCAAGAATTATGTGTGGGGTCACATTTGGTGCTTGTGACCACTAGAAAAAAAAAAAAAAAAAATCTGTGTTCAATGGTAGTCAGCCTTCTTATCATGGTTTCTGTCTCAAGCACTATTCTGTAGTTTTACAATAAGCAATTGAAAATAAATGCTTGAAGCTTGCTTTGCTTAAATGTGAATTAAGGTCAATTTCAGGGATTTCTCCTGATACGAACTTTAGTGAGACTTGAATACATGTTTTCAAGTACTTAAATCAGAGTTGCATAGGATATTTTCTGAATTTTGCAGACATTTTCTACATGTCTTATTTACTCTTATTCTCCTTTATCTCAAATTAAAATCTACTTTAAAATAACAGTGTTCTAAATCATATAATATACTTCAAAATCACAGCAGAGGAATTGAGAATGGCTCTCAACAATAAATCCTATTCTAATGTTTCCTATTGTACAGTTTTGATACATCTGTTATTTTTGTTTATGTGTTTTGCTACAGAATGAAAAGGAGAAGCTGACCTGGACTGACCGCATGCCTGGATATGCAGCAAACTTTGGACTGATTCTATTTATGGTAACATAATTTGCATTTCTGCTCCTTTATTAGGGGTGAGAAACTTTGCCATGAGCATCTAGAAGGAAACCCTTGAATTGCTGTTTTCAAATACATTAAAATCTGAAGGTAAGGTAAATTTTGGAGAAATTTGGAGGATGGTTCATGGAGCTCAATGCTTTCCTCCAGCTTTATTCTCTTTTTCCAAAGGCTGCTTGTGGAAGGTGTGATTTGCTGTAATGCCAGCAGTTCATTGCACAAATTCTGCCTCTCCCCCAGGGTTTCTGCTCCATCTCTGTTATCCAATGAAGGGATGACATTGATATTTAGCTGTCAGCACAGCAGTGCATATGTTGGTCACAGTGATGTTTAGAAAGGTTGAGCCTCTGAACAGGCGACATCCAGGTGAAATGAATCAGTTGCTGAGAAATATTTATCCAAGACACATTCAACGATGGATTGTACAGTAGATCATGGTATACAGTAAGATCATGGTACACAGTCCTGCCATGGTACACAATCCTCCCTCTTGTTCAGTCATCCCTCACACCTGAATCAGGTGTGCAGGGCAGCCTGTAAAGTGGGGACACCATTGTCCTAAGGCAAAAGTCAAATTTCCAGAAAAAAACCCACATCATGAAGCTGCTGGACTTTGTAAACAGCAACAGAAAAGCCTGGCTAACAAACCCAAATTAGATGGTAAAGGATCTCATTATCCCTCTGGTTACAGTAATTACTGTCTGAAAGCTGTTCATATGTACAGCCACTGTAAAATGGCAATGAAATTGGCCTGTTTACACCATTGCAGCATGAAACTAGGGAAACTCACCTGGGCCCTAAATTATTTTAAGATACCTAAGTGTATTTCTAATTTACTCACATTTGCATATACTGCACCAGATGTCCTGAGAAGATTTCATTTCTTTTTCTGACAATCAAATACTCACATTGAAGTTAATGTCTACACCCTTATAGATATGTTTATATATTTATGAAGATGTATGCATTGCATATTCAAATATTCTCTTTACATTTTAGATGTGTCATAGATGCACGTACTTGTAGCATTTTGAGTGGGTTTACCATCCTGAGGCCATACCCACAATTTGCTTTTTAGACAGAGCCTCTCAAGTGGCATGAATCATGACTTCACTTAGAGCAGGCCACACTGAGTCTGACTAAGCACACAGCCCTGACTGAGCTTTTACAAGTCATTCTTTTGCAGACAAGGTGCTTATATGTGCTCTTGACTTTCACCACATGTTTAAATTTCCCCTAAGCATGAGCTTAAAGTGCTTTCCTGACTCACAGCCTAGGTATTACCCTCCCTGCTTACTGTAACATCTCAGAGAGATTTATAAAGGGTTATTACCTACAGTTTGAGAGATGTAAAATGCAGAGCTCCAATTCTTCAACTTCTGTTTGTGACTAGTGGAACTAGGCTGACTTGCACCATCTGGCAAAGTGGACACAATGATCTTATTTTTGCAATATTTTGAGTATTATTTATATGTAAGTACCTTCAGGAGACAACTTGCAAACCATGCATGAAATTCAAGCCAACTCTTGATGAGAGAGAGCACGCTCTGCTATCCTACATGGATATTGCAATCTGCTCTTTACTCTATGGGCTGTTTCCCTTTCTCCTGCTAGATTAGTTAAAGAGGAATTGGAAAGATCAGACTGAAGTTTTGTTGTCAGTCTGAGAAATAGAATTGTACTGAGAAACATTATTGGTCTTGTTAACCTCTATTATTATTCACACAAATTAATTGTTTTAACTGTAAGGCCTATGTACAAAATAAATAATAAAACCTTGAATTTATGTGTGTGTGCAGGGGTACAAGAGTCTGACACAGACCTGCACACAAGTGCATAGCAATTTCTAGTGCTGCAGAAGTGATTGTTGAGTTTTAATGCTACCTTTTCCAGGCCAAAAGGATCTGGTGTTCCAAATCTATAGGTGTTTTCCATGAAGATTTCTATGTTGCTATGGAGTGATGCTGTTTTGTTCTGTCCCTCCTTCCAGAGCTTTACATCCCACACTTTCTCTGGTGGTTCTTGAAGATGGAAATGGTTTTCTTAGTGTAAAATCTTTCCTCTTTATTTTTCCCCCCCTTTATTTCCATACTTCTGTTGTGTACTTCATTTTTATGAACTCTGTTTCAAGAAATGTGTCATGGTCTTTTCTTTCTGGCTTTTTCTCTGTCTGTATTAAGGTAGGCATGCTGTTCATTTTTTTCAAAATGCAGGCTGAAAAAAAACATTGTGTTTGCTGCTCCTGTCCAGTCCTATATCACCAAACAATTCCAAGGATGAATTCACACGTGTTTGGATGCTTTAAAATCTGATCACAGTTCTTTTGTTGTACACAAAGTCTCACTGGACTGCAGAGGGAGCAGAAGATCCAAGTCTGATTTAAGCTATGCATTTTGCAGGGACTGTAGGACAGAAGTTCATAAGTCTTATTTTTGCAGAGTGAGATCGATGGTAGCAGAAGATATGGGCTCAGCTGGGCATCTAAAAGTTTTTCTTGAGTGTGGTTAGCAATAACATGTCACAATTTAGAAGGCACATGTTGTGGCAGGGATTTCTGAGTTGGTGGTAAAAATGCTGGTAAGTGTTGGAGGAGAGCAGGGTGGCATGGAGCAATGCATCACTGGGGCTTTTCTTTGTTTGGCTCAGTCAGAGGAAGGAAGAAAATCAATTTGTGTCATGGCAGAAGAGTTCAGCCTCTTCCACCCTATTCTCACTCACATGGTGTAATACTTGACTCTAGAATAGCCCTACTGGGGAGCCAGAGAACTATCTGGACATTAAATTGTTATCCTGCTTGGATGGAGGTAGCAGCCTAGCCCATGGGGTTTTATAACTTCCTTCTCAGATCTAGTTTGCTTTCCTGTTTGTCTTCATTCATACCAGGCTCAGTAGGTGACCTTTTCTGCAGCCAATTTTCACATCTGTTTCTAAACATTTCAGTCCTGGATGGACTAATTCAGCTATTCAGGGAAGAAACTGCCATAATGGGGGGGAAGAATGGCCAGAGGGAATGTTGGGAATGACAACAACCCCCAGAGTGGGCACCTGAACAAATGGTGACCTGCCCGATCATGAATTTGGGCAGAAGAGGTATTTTCTGGAATGACAAATGCTGTGAAGATACAGGAACCATTCCCCCTCAGTGACTGTCTGGGGAGTGAGAACTGTGCTCACAGTAACTGTGCAGTCCTACAGGCCCTCCTCAATTTTCTCTTCTTGCTGGAAGCACAGATAATGAAGACTCCTAAAGGAGTGTTTTTCCATCTGTGTCTAAGCAGATGTTTAAAAACAGCTGAGCAACTGAGAGTTTCTGAAACCCTGGTGCTTTTGCAAAGCAAATATTTTTGTTCTTTAAACAAATAAAATATTTTTTTCAGTAACTTTGTACACCTTGCTATGGCAATGCATGGATTGTAAAGGTTGCTACTCTCATCCTCCAGTTAACATTCCTCAGGGCAAGGCATCCCTAAAATCCTTTGGTCAGCTTCAAGAGTTTGCTTCTGAGCTTTCATGATCAAAATTTCCTCTTTTTCTATTTAGTGTGGACTGTGCTTGACTCTTCTTCCTGTACTGTTAAGTTATCATTCCTAAGTGGGAATTTGTGATGGAGAGAGGTGTGTGTGGAGGGATCTCATCTGCTCCAGAATGAGGCATCCAATTGCTGATTTTCCTTGTCCACCGCCACAGTGAAAAAATTGCAAAGAAATCCACAGGGAAAAGATACAGGAAGAGAGTATCAGGAAGTTGATTAAGAAGGAGGAATTTGTGACTCAGATTAAGAAAAAGAAAGGAGCTTAAGGTGTCTGTAGAGGTGGAAGGTGAAGTAAATTAATACCAGGTGTTGCTGTTTTGTTTTCTTCCTTTGTTGGGATTTTTACTCTCTACTCTAGTGATTATAATGGGGAAACAAGGAAAAGTTATGTGTTCCTGCATCCCTTCTGTCACAGCAAGGTAGTTCAGCATGAATGTGATTTTTTTTGTCTGTTCTTTTGGTAGGTAATTCAAACAAAAAATAGATATAAACCCCAGAAATATTTCCTTGACACAATGAAAACCACAAAACCAAAGGAAATAATATTTAATATAATTTGAAAAGTTTTCATTTAAAATGTTTCAGGTTCAGGCTTTTATCATTCACCTACATTTCATTTAAAATTAATGAAACAGTTCTTTAAAAAGTAAAATTAGATGTTTTACTAGGTCTAACTATTGCTATTTGCTGACAAAACATATTTGACAATTTCATTTGAAATGTCCAGGAGTTTCTCCAAATAATTAATTCTTAGTATGTTTACTAGTTCTTCATAAAAGCAAAATGTGCCCAGTTTTCACCTTCAACTTTTAATAATTTAACTCTGATTCTTGTTGTGGTTATTTTGCAATAGTTCCTTTTTATGCAACAACTTTCCTTTGCATACAGGAATTCAATAAACTATTGCTGGATCATTAAAATAAATGGTTAAATTTCCTTAAACCCATATTTTGAATCTGGGCCCCTAGGCCCATTTTAATAATTGCAGTCGTCTAATCTTTCACATTGAGGTAGTCTCTTTCATCTGAGGATCTCAAGATGTTTTACCTAAAATAATGAATTCTTGCTAAAGGCAAAAATAAAGGGGAAAAATGTAGCTTCTCCCCTTTTTGTGCTGTGATGATGAAAATTTGCTATTTTTTATTATTGTTTTAATGATTTCTTTTTCTTTGTGGATTGGTTTAGATTTTTTTTTTTTTTTAACAGAATACCACAACCCTATGAAATTCAAATTCTTCTTGTGGGAACTTGACCTTAAGTAGAAAGGCTGACTTTCCTCATCTCATGGGTGAAAGCCAGCTTACAAAGAATGCCAGGGATACCAAGTGATTTCTGGGACACAAATGTAAAGTGAAGCCCTAATAAACTCTGCTTAGATCAGCCTTAAAGGAATAATAACAGGGGAAGCTTTTTATTTTTAAATTTGTAAGTTTGCACTTCTCCTGTGCACAGGTGAAGCTGTTTGAGCCAGTGAAGCCCATTTACCTGACTGCACATAAATATAGGCCCTTCAGTTCAAGTCATCTAAATCTATTGCCAGATAAAAGACCTTGCTTAATTCCTGCTTTTGAGCCCAAAGTGCCCAAATTTCACTGCATGAATGATGTGTGTAGCTTTAATCAGAACAGATATGCCCATCTGCAGGAATCCATGGAATTGGTATAAAAGAATCACAGATTGGTTTGGGTTGAAAGGGACATTAAAGGTTATCTATTTCTAACTCCCTACCAGGAGCAGGGATGCCACTCACTGGATTAGGACACTCAGGTCCCATCCAGCCTGGCCTTGGTCTCTTCCAGAGATGGGGCAGCCACAGCTTCTCTGAGCAACCTATGCAAGGGCCTCTCCATCCTCACAGAGAAGAATTTCTTCCTAATATCTAACAAAAATCTCTTTTGGTTTAAAACCATCCTCCCTTTTCCTACCACTACCTTCCCATGTGAAAATTCACTTTCACTCTTTTTAATAAGTCTCCCTTAGATACTGAAAGGTGGTATAAGATCTCCCTGGAGCCTTCTCTTTTCCAGGCTGGAAAATCCCAACTTTCTCAGGCTGTCTTCCCAGGAGAGGTGCTGTGAGGCATCCAGCCCTCTGAGGATCTTGTGTCACTTGAATTGTTATGCCACTTTGGAGCCGTGCATCCGTTTCCTAATTTCTTATTTACGTCCCTGTTTGTTGGAGAGCCTTTTAATTCCATCATCTGCACGTTGTCACCTCGCACAAAGAAACAACGATGCCAATTCATGGAACATACCCAACCTCCCATCCACAGCTTCTGTTTCCAAGCTGAACTACTCTGTGTGTTCATGTGTTTGCAGATCCTGCTGGCGTTTTCAGCAGTGTTTGGTGTCATTGTGTACCGAATCACCACGGCAGCAGCCTTGTCCTTCAGCGCAAACGAGACAACCAGGTCCAACGTTCGAGTCACCGTCACTGCCACTGCTGTCGTCATTAACCTCGTGGTGGTCCTCATCCTCGATGAAATTTATGGAGCTGTGGCCAAATGGCTGACAGAAATTGGTAAAACTGCCTCGCCACATTCCTCATTAATCCATGTATTGACACCAGGGGGTGTAAGGAGGGTCCAGGAGGAGAATTTCCTCCTGGGCAGGGCCAGTGGAAACATTCAGGCCGGTGAAGGTTCCTCTTGAAGCTAAGAGCTGCAGAAAGTCAGTGGGTTGCTTAAAAAAGTGTTGGTGGCTCTCACAAAGTTACACTGATGTTGTTTCCCTGATGAATGTTTTAACCATTTCCTTACTGCTCAAATTATTTTTTTGTTCCATTTTAGGGACATGTCTGGGCTGGACTTTTTATTAATGGTTTGTACTGCAGTTAGTGGTTGGACTTTAAGAATTTATCTTAAACATCAAAATATTGTTGCAAGCCTGGCTATTTTTTTTTTTTTGAAGGGAAGTCATTCCTTTGACTCCTATAGAGGTTTAGGCCTAAAGTATTGATTTGTTATATACATTTGGTTAAAGATGTTTACTAATAGGGGTTTAGGCTGGGGTTTTGTTTTATTATATAAATTAGACCAAGAATGTTGACTGATGGTGCCTTTACATGAGATTACTTTTAAGACTTCTGTTTCTTCTCAATTTCTCAAAACACTTTTAACATCACAAATGAAAACATCTCTTTCAGTCCTATTTTTGGAAGAACATTACAAACTGCAGTTTTGCAGTTGTTAGAGGTCCAATCTTAAATTTTGGAATTATGGTCCTGTTAGTTTAAATTAAATTCCTAAAGTATTTGAAAGAAATGAAGACAAAGCAATTAATTTTCATAGATTGCTTTAGGGGGTTCATTTGTTTGTTTATTTCTGTTTTGCAGTGGGCTTTGGGCGGGTTATAACAGGGTTACACAATGCCACTCTGTTCTAGTGGCATAAATGAGCTCAGGCCCACTGTTCAGAACAAAACTGTACCCAGATTTTTAGCTTTCATGTAAGTGACAGGCTGCTAACTGTGTATGACCTGATCAATTCTGTTCACTGCACCTGCCCAGTCAAGAAATGGCACAAATGTTAAGGAATGACACAGCTGTGTGGAAAGAGTAGGAAAAAATGAAGATGAGACTTCCCTGGGAGCTGGGAAGTGCCAGGTACTGCCATGGCCTCTTTTTGGGAAGTACAGAAGGAAAGTCTCTCCCTTTGAAATGTGCACCAAGCTGAACTGTAAAATAAACAACAATTTCTTACTTGCTGATTATTGCCCTCCTGTCACTTTGCATCTAGTTCTAATCCTGTCTTTATTAGGGCAGTATTCCTAATCAACCATCAGATGTTTTGTTTAAGAAGGATCCAGTCAGAATAATCTCTAATGCTACAAATTACATGAGTTAGAAAGTTCACTCAGGCAGCTTTCTCCTGCGCTAGGCTCAGATGCCAAATGCAATCAAAATGTTTTAAAAAATTACAATTCATGCATGCTGATAAATGTTGCTTAACTTGTGAACTCTCCTTTTGCTGAGAGAAGAAAAACATTCCCAATTCTCATTTCACACTACACTTTATCCACAAGCTGAAGAGCACACTTGTTGGGCTGAAGGAGTAGCTCTTGACAGCATAAGTTTCTATTCCTGCCCCAAGTACACTTGAATCTCTGTTCAGGTGAAAAATTACATCTGTAAGCACAAGAATAGCACTGATAGTGTTAATCAATCATGGGATCAGAGTCAAGCATGTGCCTCAATACCTCCTCAGTCAGGAGGGAAAGAGTAGGAGTTTTGTTGTTACCAATACAGAGAGTTTGTACAGGGTGGAGCAGGACTCCTGCAGGCCCAGCAGAGTCGGGCACTGGTGCCCCTTTGTCACAGATGAGACCAGCCAAAGTGCAGATGGTATCCTGCTATTCCCAGGAAGAACAGATCATCTTCAGTATTCAAGTGGTGCCAGACAAGATTTACAGCTCACTTGTGACTCAGAACCACAGAATGGTCTGGGTTGGGAGGGACCTTAAAGCTCACTCACCTCATTCCAAGCCCCTGCCATGGGCATGGACACCTTCCACTATCCCAGGTTGCTCTGAGTTGCTCCACATCCAACCTGGTCTTGGAAACTTCCAGGGATGGGGCAGCCACAGCTGCTCTGGGAAACCTGTGCCAGGGCCTCAGCACCCTCAACCCTTCCTTGAGGCCGAGGAAGAACCACTGAAATGGGGGCAAAATCAAAAATACTCCTGTTTGTCCCTTGCAAAGGCAGCAGCTCCTTCAGAGAGCTAAGGCCCATTCCACCCTTAGCTCAACTCATCCTCCACCTGCAAAGTTCCAGCTGCCTACTTTTGGCATAACAACCCACCACTGAGTGTTTCGTTTTTTGGGGATGAGGGAATTTTTCTCTGTTACTAAAACACCTATTCTGGCTGAACGCATTTCTCATGCAGCACACCCGAGGAGCTGAGGAGAAATTTTACACATGCCCCTAAAGCTATGCTATAGGATGTCTGAGGCAGCCTCTGGGACCATATATGGTGTGCAAATGTTCATCCAGAGGCTGAGCTCATCCATGGGGGTGGTTCTCTGTAAGGCAGGGTTTAGGATTTTTCTCCCTCAAATAAAAAGTTACACTGCTGTTATGTGATATTCCTGCTGCCCTGAGTTTTTCTCTTACAGATCTATTCAGGCTGTGGAATCACCTGCAAATTGTTTGAATGTTTAATTAAGCTTTTTTATACTTATACATGGATTATGCCTTAGGGCTCATTAGGTTGTGCACTGATCTTTTATGAAAATGGGGTTTAAAGTATCACCAAGAAAGGCAGTGAGGGTTTATTAGGCTTTTTGTTCCTTTAGTGCTAAAATAATCATGCAGCTTTTCTAAGAAGAAACACCCCAAAACAACAGCAAAGCAAACAGAACACACAAACTGTGCCTGAAACAAAACTGTCCAAGTGCAGCAGTATTTTTAATGTGGTCCTTAAGCCAGAGCTCTGGATCTCCTTATTATTCCACACTTTCTCTGTGCCTCAGAAGTTCAGCCAAGAATGATAAATTTAATCATAAACTGATCTTCTCTCACATTAGATACATCTAAGGATGAGCAGAGAAACACAAAGGTTTCACCCATATAAAATCTTGAAAAAAGGATCCTATCATCAGTTTGAAAATCCTCTTATACCTGTGCTTTCTGCTGCCATAAAATTTCCACAGAAATTGAAAATAAATCTGGGAACAGAGTAGTGAATACTGAAAATATTTAAGCCAAGAAATCTTGAAATGCAGAATATATATAGTGAATTGTAAACAAAAAATGTGCCTTTATTTTGCACTTAATTCATTTTATGCCTTATTCAAAAGTATTTAGTCTTGTATTTAGCATGAAACATAACAATCTCACCACAGAAAAGAAGGTTTGTGGACTACAAGTTAAGGATGCTTTTAAGGTGGGTTTTTTTTCTGGTTGAAAGTCTTTGTACTTTGCTTTCAGCATTCCTCAATTGAGAATACGAATGTTATGTTATTTTAGTTGTGTAACAGATATACTAATGTATGTCAATATCCATATATACAGCAGAGTAATTTATACTGCTTTTGCTTTGTGGAATGGAATATCTCTGGAAATCAGGACTCAGGGACAGAGTTCCAATTAGGGACAATTAGGGGTACAAAAGAAAAATTAATATAAGCCCAAAGTTTAAAGTTTGGGGTTTTTTGTACGTGTTTGGGGATTCAGGGATTTTTATATTACTTACTGATTCAGTTTTCTGGTTTGCTTTTTTTTTCTCTCAGAAATACCAAAAACAGAGAAAATTTTTGAGGAAAGACTGATTTTGAAGGCATTCCTACTGAAGTTTGTGAATTCTTATGCATCAATTTTTTATGTTGCCTTTTTTAAAGGAAGGTAGGATAAATATCCTTTACATATATATATTTCTGTATATGCATTTTTATATATGTGTCTATATTAGTGGATCTGTGCATAAAAATGGGCACAAAGGCCTGAGACTGGTCATCTTTGCCAGCTCTTAAAAAATATCTTTGACAAGGTTATCTAAAGTTGATAATTCATTTTGCTTTTTTAAAAAAGTGTAGTTTTTATAATGAATGGCAGTGCTTACAGGCTTTATCTTCCCACAGTTTAGCAAATTTTCCTTGAAGCATCATTTAGCAAAGAAAGGTCTTCCTGTTTCATTTAAAATTATGGAGCTTTTTTTTCCTATTACTTTCACATTATTTTGCATTATTCTTGTGTATCAAATTAAGAAATAGCTACAGTCAACTGGCAAATGAAGTGATTGAACAAAAAGCTAATTCAGCTGTCCTCCTAAATAAGTGTGACTTCCTATGGGCTCAGAAACCTTTTCTTTTGGGACCCAGTCATCTACATGCTTTTGAATGGGAAACTTAAAATTATTCTTTGCTAAAACTTTGGCCAAAAAAAATGTTTAAATCATTCTCTGGATTCTGTTTCCTACCATTTTACTCTTCCTTTTTGGGAGTTGTAAAATTTGTTAATCTCTGCTCTTCACTAATCCTATCCAGCACCTTTCATTTGAGGATTAATGATGCATTTGCCCAGGAGTTGCAAATATTGTAAGGCACCAAAGGAAAAAAGTCACCAAATTCTCTCTTTTTTTAACCATCTTTTTGTGTTGTATGGTTTGAATATAGTCAATATCATTGCTTCTCCTGGTGTAGCCAGAAGAGTCTTGGTTGTATATAGACTTGTAAATAATTCCATCCAGGGCCTTATTCACATGTAAGAGAATGTGAATTAGGATATGTGTCCCCTGGTTTATTTGCCATCTCTAATCAAGTGAAGGGTTTTAGCACTGGAAAATATTTTATTAAAATTATTTTGTCCAGATATAGTAGCAAACTATTTGTACAGGCCTATTTCTTTGAAATAATTGAAGGTGGATAGATCCTGAGCCCTTGTAAAGTCATGTTTAGGAAGCAACTTCTAAAATATTTTGACTAATACAAATGAACAGTCTTGGTTTCGAAGTTAACTTATTTTTGTGTTTTTATATTAAATCATGGTGTCAAAATTGGCTTATTTTTCTGTTTTTATACTAGTTTATATATTATTATTGCTTTCAGGTTTGTTGGCCGTCCTGGTCGTTATGTGTATGTGTTTGAAGGTTATAGGATGGAAGAGGTAAGTACATTTGAAATTCAAATTACAGATAAAATCCTTTACACAAAGAAATCTGTGTACAGTGTTCAGTGGACTACAGACAACAGAGGAAAAATAGAAAACACGTGTTAAAACAAGAGGTCAAATCTTCAACTTGAATAGGCAAAACTCAGAGTTTCCATCTAAGGCAACTTTATATTATTTCTTTCTGCAGTTTTGACTATTCCATGGTTTTTCTTAGGTGAAGCTTCCCCATTTCTGTGCTTTACAGCTGGGCACTAAGGCACAAACATTCCATGATTTGGTTGAGGCCCTTGGGAAGTGTGAATCTGGCTTCCCCTTCTGCAGATTGCTGGAAGCTTGGTGATTTTAAATAGCTTAAAAACCTGGAGCCATCTTGTGCTCAACCTATAAACATTTTTTTTTTTTAATCCCCTCATGAAGGGGATTGCTGTGGGTATTCCCTTGAAAGCTGAGAGATGTACTTAAGGTTTGACAATAAAGCTGACATAAAAGTCTCTCAAAGATTGAAGGTTTTCTTTCCCCCTTGGGAGAGATCAGCTTGGAAGAGTATTGGTGATCCTGCATTATGTTTATTACATTGATTATATAGTAAATATTTTTAAAGGAAAATAGGAGCCTCAGGGCACCATGAGTTGTTTCAGAGCTCTGCATATTTTCCATAATGCAGTTTTATGAGTGGAGATGAAATACCTTGTCAAACACAGATTTGAAGTAATCTATGAGCTCTGTGATCCCACAAAAATTGGTGGTAGGGACAGTGGGCACATGGAGACACTAGGAACTTTCCCAAGTGGGTAATTTTAAATTAATTCTCTTAATCCCTTCACACTCTCTGGTTTTGTTTATTTTCAGTGTGCTCCAGGAGGGTGTCTGATGGAACTCTGCATTCAGCTGAGCATCATCATGCTTGGAAAGCAACTGATTCAAAACAATCTCTTTGAAATTGGAATCCCGTATGTATTCTGGCCTTTTCCATTATGTGTTATTCCTATGGCACAGTAAATCAAAGCCTTGATCCTTATTCAGCTAAATGGGACTTTTGCCACTGCCTTCAGTGGGTTCTAATTGAATGTGATGATAAATCACATTTTCTGTTGTGGTGAAATGATCTGGTTGTATTTTATGTTGAATAATTGGCTATATCTTCACTAAATGGCTTAAAGAAAAAGATGGAATATATGAAATAATTGATTTAAATTAATTTTAGAAACAAGGGAAAACAGGCGAAGTATGATAGATCTCCTGGGAATTTTCAGAGAAGCTTTCAGGACAGCAGCATTGAATACAAATTAGCACAAAGTGGAGGGGAGATAGCATGAGGGAAAGCAATAGCCCACAAAAGATGTTAAAATCTATTACTGGATCTATGACTATTTTATGGGTTTGGGGATGAAATCCACACGTTGCCAAGATGCCTTTATGTCATTCTGGGATGATACAGGAGCAAACAGAGACACTGACAGCTCAGTGCCTTTCTGCCATGGACTGCCTCAGTGCTTAGCTCCCTGCTCCAAATACAGCAGGAAAACTCTCCCTGTCTCTCACCAGTGCCAAGGGGATCTTCAGGCACTGGGAATTCACTGAGAAAGTCCTGCTCCTGCCTCTTGGGAGGTTTGCTTCGTGGTGGCAGTGGCCTGTGAAATGTTGGAGATGAAGAGTCTGGTTTGGACATCTCAGCTCCACTGAAATGAGGCAGAATCTTCCAGCTGTGCTGTCAGCAGCTTTTAGGTCACATCCGTAAGGCTGTGGTGATAGTAACTAGAAATCAAGAGGAATGATTCTTAAAATATATTAAATATATTTCAAATGAGCCCTTTTCTTCCCTTTTCTCAGCAAGAACATTTTTTTTTTCTTGCAAGGAATTTAAATAGAGAAAGAAAAAAAAATCCCAAACAAATCAGATGTAGATTATGGATTGTTTCATTATTCTTGTGTCAAAGTTCAATAGGGAGGCCTGTTTTCTGTCTGCATCTCATTGAATTTACATTTTATTTTGAGAAAAGGGTGGTAAATCATTCCCAAAATATCTGACATGTTGAAGGCTTAAAGCTTTCTCAGTGTAAACCTGCTGTAATTTGTTTCTTGTCTTCCAAAAACTTACTGCTACTGGACTCTTTTAATGGGAATTTTATGATGTTACAAATACTGTATTTATTATTTTTGACTCATGAAAGCATGGGCTGATCCAGTCCAAACAGAAAGTCATGTCAAATTATTTTTCATTTCCCTCCCTTTGGTGCAAGAATGCAATAATTTAATCTCATTTTTCTCCCTCAGATCTGCCCCCCCACTCTTCATTTAACAAACTGTGGTGGCCTCAATATTTAAAACTGTTTAAAAACAATAATCTTTTCATCCTCCCCTTCCTAGATAAATACTTCTTTTCAGTCACAATGTTACCTTGTCATCTTGGAGTAAACATATCTGCTTTTCCTTTGCTTGTCTGCATTCCCAAGAAAATTGTGTGTGTGTCTGTAAGGCTCGGCCCTTCTCCCTGGACCTGTTTGCACCAGAAGAATCACTGAGCACTCAATTAAATCAGAATTAGCCTCCTATTCCTGCATGGACCACTGTACTGGTTTGGGCTGGTTCCTCAAGGGTACCAGCAGCTAAATTTTTCATCCCCCCCTTGCCTTGTGCCTCTTTAGAGAGTTGGGGTGAATAACACAGATTCTTCCATTGGCTCCCTGTGTTTTCACTGTGGGCAGAGTCCTGGTGCTGCCACCAACCTTCTCCATGTGGAGAGACAGAAGGGGATATCATAAATGGTGATTTGGTCCTAAGAATCTGGTGCTGTCCTCCACACATCTGTAACATGGAAGCACCTCTCTGCTGAGTTATCTGATGGCACTCATCAAAAACATTTTCTTCCTCACTGAAGTCTTGGGATTTCAAGTATGTTTTCTTTTTTATTTTTTTTTTTCCAGAAAATCTTTCAATTTCATTCATCACAAAACCCAAGGTGTTTTAGTTGATGTGCAGAAATCACAAATCCCATTTTCTTCTCTTTCTCCTCAAAAAAATACTGCTGAGTAGATGATAGAGTAAGTTGGCAAGCAACAGTTGTCCTTTATGTTCCTAGAACCCCAAAATGGAAAGAATTGGAAAGCATCTTTCCATGTCTTCATTCTGCTTTATCCATGATCAGTCCTGGCTGAGGAGGAAAACTTCAGATGGCAGCCCTGCATTTTTTGGGGACACATCCTTGCTTTTCCTTCAGTGTTTCTGTAGAAACTGCTGCCACAGCTACGATAGATGTAATTGCTGGTCTTCTAAACCTTGTGTGATTTCTTTTTTTAATTTCTGCATCCAGCAGTAGCAAACCAGCTAGGTAAATTCAACATGATTTGAATGATAAAATTATAGAAAACTAAACCCTCTTGAACTGAAATGTGTGTTCTGTGGGTCTGGAATTCACAAGTTTAACAGATGTAAATATGCCAAAGTTCACTCAGATGTGTCACATACCATCATTCTTTTACTGTTGCCACAGGAATTGACCCTAAAAGGCTGCAGGGCTTGAAAGCCTTAACCCAGAGTTCTTTTAAGACCCTTTTTATTCAGTCCTGTTTTTTTCTGAACTTATTGAAAAAACCCCATCCATGTGGTTATTTTATTACTCTCTGTCTTTGACCTTGGTGCTAAACCCTTAGGGTGAAATCCTGGCCCTATTGAAGCAAACAGCAAAACTATTGAATTTAGTGAGGCCATGGTTGTAGCCCTTCTTATTCAGCATCAATTTCCATCACTTCCTTCAAAATATACTTAAATATGCTAGATGAGAATACCAAGAGTTAATAAGATCCATTTAAAGACATCCCTTTGTAGTTGTTATCTCTTTTGTTGTTTTTCACCTCTACTAAATTATTCTTAATTAAAGGTTTGGGTGGTGACTTTTTGCCTTTTTTTCCCTGTTTTTTATTGTTTTCCTCCGATTGAGAAATCAATAAACCCCAAACATAACTAAAACTCTTGTAGAATCCAGGATATCTGAGTGTGCCAAGGAAGCATGGCTGTACCAAAAATGTGTGGGAGAACAAGAAATTTACTTTTGTTCTTCCCCTGCCTCCTTCTTGTGCCTGTGAATGTGAGAAAGTGTTTCTTTATGTGAACAGATTGTAGGAATATGACTGAAGGAAGGCCTGGATCTTCAGTGTTCCTTCCCAAAAGCAGGAAAGAAAAATTACAGGCAAGGACACAAGAGTCTGGGTCACTGCTCTTCCTTTTGTCCAGATACAAGTGCTCCAGCTACTCAACCTAACAATCTTTTTTGTTTAGCTTTCTCTCTGCAATTTTTTTCCATTATCCTAGAGATCAAGAAGCATAAACTGGAAGGAGAGTCTTAAAAAACCCACGTTAGAAATAATCATCTGCTCCTGGCAGCTGGATTCTAGGGGCTTTCTGCCTTTTCATGTAAAACCTCCACATGCATCTCTGTTCTAGCAAGTATTCATAGAATCATGGAATCATAGCATGCTTTGGTCTGGAAGGAACCTTAAAGACCTCACAATTCCAAGCCGTGGGCAGGGACACCTTCCACTATCCCAGGTTGCTCAGAGCCCCATCTGAGGGGGCTCTGCCAGGATGGGGCAGCCACAGCTTCTCTGGGCACCCTGTGCCAGGGCCTCTCCACCCTCAGAGAAAGGAATTTCTTCCCAATATCCCATGTAAGCCTGCTCTCTGTCAGTGTGAAGCCATTCCCTCTTTGCCTGCACTCCATCCCTTGTCAATAGTCTCTCTCTCTCTTTCCCATATGTGGCAAGCACATTTCTTTCCCTCTCAGGATTTTTCATAGAGGTGCACACAGAGAAATGAAAAAGAAAACAATTTCTATTTCTGCTCCTTGTTTTTCCCATGTGGAATGTGTTTGGAGAATTGTTTACCTGGGGTGAGTGCTTGATTGGATTCAGGTGAGGATTGTTTGAGCCTGATGGCCAATCCAACCCACCTGGGGCTGGACTGTCAGAGAGGGTCACGAGTTGTGAGAGAGAGAAAGTGATATGTAGTTTTAGTATCCTCCTTTTATATAGTATATTAATGTATTTTAGCATAGTTATAATAAAGAACTAATTCAGCCTTCTGAATTGGGTCAGACATGGTCATTTCTTCCCATTGGGTTCGCTTGCATTTACAATAACCATAGGTTCCCTTCAGGCATTGAAAGGCTCAATTAAATCTTCTTGGGAGCCTTCTTTATTCCAGGCTGAACAATCCCAAATGTACAGGCACTGAAGACACAAACACTTGTGCCAACAAAGTAATTTTCCTGCATCTATTCTCTTTCAACCTGCCCTCCGGATGCCCCACCTCTATCCCATTCTCACGAACTCCACAAATTTCTCATTTTCCCCAAGTCATCACCATTCTTTCCCCTAGATCCCCCAAATCCAGCTGCTCCTTCTTACTGTATCAATAGAGAAACTATTGAATCATCTCTCTGATTTTTGAAAAGGAGCCTTCATCTAATCACCATGTGCTTACAGCCCAGCCAGGATCACTTGGAGCTTGATTTCTCTCTTTTCATCATGTTTTTTCTCAAAATCTCGAGGGTTATTGACAGGTGGGGCTGTAGTGATTTTATGCTCACTTCAGATGCTTGTTAATGTGCATAATGCAGTGCTTATTGGTTATACTGGGAATTACAATCAGCATAATTCAGCCATGTTCCCACCTCTTACCTAATACAATAATTTGGTGCCAATCCCCTGTGAGAAGCTGCAGTGTCATTTTTAACTGCTCTAGACACAGCTTGACAAAAACCTGGTAATTTTATTTCCTTCTCATCCTGCATTCATTCTTCTCACATGCTGTTCAGGATGGCTCCTTAAAGATGCACCTTGCTTTTTGACATTCCCTGGCAAAAGGAGCAGATATAATGGCTATTCTACAGCTCTACAGTTTTCCCTCTTTGCCCAGACCTGTGTGGAATCATGAAACTTTGCTGCATGAGCCTTTTAAACACAAAGCTTCTGAGACATTCATCCTGAATGGGCAAACTTACCTCTTCCTTACTGTGGGGGCTGCCTGGCAGGAACGAATCAGAAGCTAAAATAAATCTTTTTCTGTCAATTTTCTTTAAAAATGTTGATCTGGGTAATTAAGGAACAGGCTTCAAACAAAGGCATTTAAAAAGCATACTCAGTTTTAGCATCACAATCATAAGTACAGATAAAGGGTTCTGCAAAACTCATTTTCATTGCCCTATTGCTGTCTAGCTGGAGAATAACACCCTACAAATCCCCCTTCTCTGTTCCTTTAACTTTCTGATACATTTCTGCTTGGTCTCAAACTTCACATGCTTGGATATGACACAAAGGTACTTTTTGGTTTTTGTGGAAAATTTGAAATAATTAGTTTGGCATGCTTTCAGTCAGTTGATCTTTCAAAAAAAAAAAGCATAAAAGCATAAAAAGAAGCATACAGACGCTTTTCAAAGCTGAACTCCAAATGGTTAAAGGTGCTGTTCATCATGCCTGGCTTAGAGATAACCAGATGAAAAATTTAAAATTATTCTGAGCAACTGAGCCCTGGATTTGGTGTGTTCCCAAATAAACATTAAAAACAACAACAATTGCTTTAGTTACTGGATTCTCGTGGGAGGTGTGTGTATGCATTAAACCCCAGAACTCCATTCTGTGGTGCTGTAGCTGAAGGATTAGGTCACACGTGCACAGATTTCACATCTAAACACACCCAAATTTTATCTCAGCTGCTGCTGTGCTGTGACAGCGAGATCATCTTCACTCTCATCTGCCCACAGAAGTGTGAAGGACATTTATAGCTTGTATTAGTTCATTGGAACAGAAATTAGCATTGTCTTGGACCTAGTGTTCACCATCCTCTGAGAGTCCCTCACATTAAGAAATTAATTGGGATATGTTGGAAGAGAATGCTTTGATTGTTTTAAATCCTGACCCAGCTTCCTACCCTCTGAATGCTACATCACCTTTGTCACAGCAAGTTCCCTTGGCTGTCATAAAGGCAGAGGGGGAGAAAGGAAATTTAGTGTCTTGAAATGGCTGAGTTTGCATGATGCAAGAGGTATATGTCTTTGTAAAGATTCATCTAATCCTGTCTCGTGACGCATTTTAAATTTACCCCCACCCTTTCATTAAAACTGTGCAATCTGAATGTCCTGGATGCCAGTAATGCCAAAGCACTGATGTTACCATCAGACTTGGGAGCTACATCTTCCTTCCGCCTCAAACAAAAGCAGGAGTGGTCCTGTTGGTTTTTGAAAGTTTGTGATCCAGGATCTGAGAGGGCTTGATGCAATCTAGACCTGTTTAAAGCGTGTCTCCAATCCCAAATTCCTCCATACTGGTGATGAAATGGAATGGGTCCTGTAGACACTGGTAGGGGTAGAAATTTCTCAGTCACTGTGGGAACACAGTGATCCCATGGCTCAGTGTAAATTTGGGAATGAAGCAATAAACTCACATAGCAAAGCCTTTATTGTGTTTGCCAGCTTTTGTTCCTCAGCCTTGCCTTGCCACTGGAGCCAGGGTCCGGGAAAGTGGTTCTGCTTCCTTGGAGGTCCAAAGGAAAACCCCTTCTCCCAAATATTCCTGTATCCAGGCCACACACCTACAGTTCAAAGGGTTTATCACAAGCTGTGGGGGAAGATGTTGTGGGAGAGCCCTGCTTACACTATTGGCAAGACATCATTGGAATTAGTCTGGATTTCCACTCATGGCACATATTTGAAGAACTAAATAGTGCCGTATGTTTCTGTGGAAGATAAATATCATCTGCAAAATAAAGATATTCAATAAGTATAAATCTGGCTATTTTATGCTAATTCAACTGTATTTTGCTGACTTGATTGTGAAGAAATGCCTCATTCTACTGTGGTTTTCCATGGGAATTTCTCAGTGTAAAATAGAAATTATTAATTTTACTCTAATTTATTTGTCATTGTCATTAAATTTGTATCCCCATTTCAGTGGTACAGTGTTTGATACTGCTTTTTCTAATGTCAGTATATTCTTGCACCCTCTTTGTTTGGAAATATCCCATAATTACAGAATGACCTGGGTTGGAAGGGGCTTTGAAGCTCATCCAGTTCCAAATCCCTGCCATGGGCAGGGACACCTTCCACTTTCCCAGGCTGCTCAGAGCCCCAACCAACCTGGCACTGAACACTTCCAGGGATGGGGCAGCTGCAGCTTTTTTGGGCAACCCATGAACATCTGGTAATTTTTTTACATTAAAATTCTATTATACTGGAAGATCCCAATTTTTATACAGAGATAAAAGTGTGCGTGTAGTAAAAATGTGGAATGAAACACTACATTTTGTATTTTGTTAAAAGAGAGGTACTCACTATGTTGTTCTTGAGAGTACTAATTACTAATATTATTTAGATTCCAGGATCTTCAGAAAGATCTCCTTGGAATGTGCATCTAGAGAGAAAAAATATTATAAAGTACTGGATTCAACTCCAGTAGCTTGTACCTGTCAGTAAATAACATCTGAACTTTCCCAGCGTGATGTAAACTCCCCCTGTGATGCACCAAAGTAACACAGGATTCATTTTGTGTTGCTGTGCAAAGACTTGGGCCAAATCTTTTAGGGAAAAAAAAAAAAACCAGACTTGGTTCAATCTAAATTTTTGTTCCTCAGGAAGCTCAAGAAGCTCTTTAGGAAGCTGAAGGATGAAAGAACTGAGGTAAAGGAAATGGACACCAACCAATCCAAAGACCCTCAGCAGTGGGATCTCGACTACATCTTAGAACCTTTCACTGGGCTGACTCCAGAATACATGGAAATGAGTAAGTTTTCAGAATTTCCTTTCCCTTTCTGCAATAACCATGGCTTTACATAGGACTGCATGTCAGACGTGGTCATGAGAGAGAGGGAAAAATACCCCAGCTTGCAGAAATTCCATGTGAAGCAGCAGGGCTATGAGACTACCATAGTGCAAACAGAGAAATGATGATGAATCCCAGTATCTGTTAATACTCCTGCTGCCAGATTCCAGTGTTCCCAGCTGAGGAAAGTGAATAGAAACCACTTGGCCACAGAATCAACAGCTATGGTTAGGAGGGAATCTCTGGAGATCAGCTGGTCCAACCTCCTGCTCAAAGCAGGGTCAGCTAGAGGATGTTGCTCAGAGACTTGTCCAGTTGGGTTTTGAGTATTTCCAGGGATGAAGACTCAACAACTTTTCCTGTATTTGATCACCCTTACACCATGGAATTTTTAATGTTTGAGTTGCACTCCCTACATTTCCATTGGTGCCGTGTGCCTCTTGTCCTTTCACTGGGTGCCCTTGAGAAGGTTTTAGCTGTGTGTCCTCTAACTGGCCACATGGCTAAGATGCCCTGAGCCTTTTTTTTTTTTCCTGTGGTACAGCAATCCCAGTGCTCTCAGCTTCTCCTTGTTCAGGAGGTCCTCTCATCCCTTAACCATTTTAATGGCATGGATACACTGCCATGAATCCATGTTTTTCTCCTACTGGGGAGCACAGCCCTATCCCTGCCCCATGAGTAGACCCTGCAGAAGCAGGGAAGGAGAAAGCAGGAATGCTGTGGGTAGGGGAATAGAAAGGAGAGAAATAATCAAGGCAAACCCAAGCTTTAGGTCACACAAGAATTCAGGGAGAAGCACAGTGGGCATCTGGAAAACCAGACATCAGTTAAATATTGAATGTGGCAACTCCTGTTTTAACACAAGTCACTATTTTCAAAATATCTAAAGGGGAACATATTTTATGGCGAAAATATTAAATACCATACGTGGTTTATCTCTCTGTACAGAAACAATCTTGGTTTGTAAATATAATTTATAATTGAATTTAAAATGAATACATTACAATTTATAGAATGGTGGATTTATGTAAATCTATAAATGTCTAAGTATATACAAGGTATTTTGCATGATGACAGATTTGGGGATGTCTTATTAAAATGTTTAGGATCCCAGCCTTGCCCTCTATAGTGCCATCAAGAATCCCTCACCTCCTATTATCTCCCTGTCAATTGTTCCAGCTCACCTTAGGTCTGTGTTGTCACTGCTGTTACCTTATCCCCTTTTACATATTTTTTGTTGAAAAGGTATCCTTTAGGACAGATTTTTTTTTCCATGAGTTACTTCAGCCCAAGATGATTTTTCTTCCTGTAAACTTTAAGCACGCCTCTTGGCAATCTTTGAAGTTGAACAATGGTAAAAAAACCCCACAGACATAATTCCTGTAATTTTTTTTTTTTTTTTTGTATTTTTAGGTTCAGGAATAACTCAGAAATATTTGTTTTTAACAACCCAAATTTCTTGGTTAGCTAGATCTAAGGACAAGGAGGACTAAAGTCTAAGGACTTTAGCTACCAGTAACAAATATATACTGGTGTGGTGTTTGTCAGCATTGCTTGGGTTTGCTGTCAGTGGCCTTGATTATGCTGTGTGAAAAGTGATGCTCCAATGATGTGAGCTTAAACATAATTTCCAAAATGCCAGATTTGTTTTAAGGGTTCATTTAATGCCACCTACTCAGAAAGGAAGCAGGTCAGTAGTCTGTTCTTCAATGAAGAAAGTGGAGTTTTAACTTCAGAGCACCTCTTGGAGCTCCCATGTTTAGCCATTTGTTATGCTGCTCCTTAGGGAACTGTTTGGGTTCTTTTAATTTTAGGAGCAAGTTCTAGAAATTGCCAAGATGAGTCACTGAAATAAGTAGGTTCATGTGGTTTTTTTGTGGGTTTGTTTTTTTTTGTTTGTTTGTTTGTTTTTTTGTTTTTGTTTTTTTAAGAAAGAAATGCAGAAGTACCACCACAGTATGTTAAGGTTTGGGGGTTCCTGTTCCAGGGAAGTGGTCCCAGCCCCAAGCCTGCCAAAGCTTGGGCAATGCTCTCAGGAATATGGTGGGATCCTTGTGCTGGAGTTGGATTTTGATGGCTCCCTTCCAACTTGGGATATTTGATGGTTCCCTTTGATGGTTCCCTTCCAACTCAGGATATTCTATGATTCTATTCCATGGCTCTGACTTGTATTATCAAGTTTTAAGCTGCTGATGTTATAAATCACTGGACATTAAGACTGTCATTTAGATGAGTCCCTTGTGCCAGGTTCATAAACTGTGATGAGCTCCTCAGCCTGCAGCCACTCAGGGGTGATTCAGGGAAAATGAACAGATGAATTATCGACGGAAACATTTCTTTACAAACAGGAGGATGAGCTTTCCAAGTGGAGAAGCCTCACAGTGTGCCAAGCTGTGGCCAGCCTGGGGGATTTGCAGACAAATGTGCAGCAGATGAAAGCCAAGCTGCACCTCCCCAGCCCCGGTTGCTGCCCTGGGTGCATGTCCCTGCTCTCAGCTGTCAGATCCACTGCTCAGACCACCCACGCTGGCAGGAAGCACTTGGTGCAGCTCAGCACTGAACCTGCCAGCTGGGAATGTTGTCAAAGGCATCACGCTGCAAGAGGCAGCTCAACAGATTATTTATTTATTTCTCTAATTTTGAGCTGGGGACAGTGGGAAGGGAAGCAATGCAGAAGACCAGAGCAAGATTTTCTTTTCTCCTGAATTGCTTAAAAAGGCAGGGTTACTGGAATGCAAGAAGAGGTATGATATCAAGGAAAATAGAAAAATCTGGCTGTTGTTTCAGAACTTCTTTCTTAGTTTTCACACTGATTTACTCAGGCAACCCCCCTCAGGCATCAGTGGCAATCTGGAATGAAGCAGCTGAAGGAGGAAATGCAGATGGGGCTTGCTGCAGCCTTTGGGGTTCCCCCATGCAGATGGTGAAGGGGTTTCATGCAGAAGCAGGAAGATTATGTATCCAAGTGTGAGTAGTCACTACATTCAGGTTTGTCCTGCCAGGATGTTCCCACTTTTAAGGATGGGTGACATCCTCAGCTAATACTCTTGCCTCCAAGTCTATCATTCACTAGGCTGGACCCTAATCACAGGCAGTCCTTGCCTTTTTTATCCATATATCCAATCTCTTTTACTGATTTCTGTCAAAACCTGGAGTCTGGCCCACTGCCCACATGGCAAATCACACATTCTCTTTGCACTTTGTTATGAAGCAAACAAATCCCATTAAGGCAGCACTTCTGTGAGGGACAGGGCTTGGAGCAGTCTCAGGATGTGTTTTGCAGCATGATGCGCCACACGTAAAGGATAACTCCCCCACTTAAATTTTGGGATGCCCATTTCCAATCTGCTTTCATTTTTGTTCTTATTTCTTATTCTAACAATCCTGAAGCCTCAGAGAGACTTCCACTTTCTCACTCTCTTATCCCTGCCCTCACTTAAATCATGGTAGGTTCATAGAAATAGCAAGATTTACTGGTTATTTTTAAACCTCCTCTATTGTCCCATTTGGGAAAGGTGACTCTGTTCACTGAAATTGGTTTCTGCAAAATATCAGTTATTCAAGTCCATGCCAAAAAATTAGATTAGCTGTAAGAAGGAATTTTTTTTACAATGAGGATGGTAAAACACTGGCATAGGTTGCCCAGAAAGGTGGTGCATGCCCCATCCCTGGAAACATTCCAGGTGAGGTTGGATGAAGCTCTGAGCAACAGGATCTAGTTGAAAATCCCAGCTCATTGCACGAGTTTGGACTAGATGACATTTAAATTCCAGCCCAAATGATTCTATGGATAGCAAGATTAATTTTTTAGGGTGAAAGACTTTGAATCTGATTTCACCAGCAGACTCTGCTGAGCTTTTTTGTTGTGCAGGCTTGGCTGTCAACAGCACATCTGCACAAAGATTTGACATGCACCAGTGACATTTCTGATGACTGTTTATTTTGATGTTATTAACTGACATATTCCTGCATTTCTTAGTGGAGACACTTGTAAAACGCTTGAGTGATCAGAAAATTTTGCTCAAGTAATCCTGAAACATAAATTGTCACTGTCAACATGTGTCAAAATTGTCCTTAGCATTTCCTGCTTCCAAAACTGTGGAAAGGCTTTTGACCCAGGCCAATATACCATACCATGTGCATTCCCAAAGTAGGTAGCACGTACAGCAATTTCCTCTTCCACATGGCAGCAAGTTTGCAACGTGTGCAACTGGTCTGCAATGATAGAAGTTGGCAAGAAATCGATATTTAGAGTAGCAATAAATATTGCTAATGAAAGAAATTTTATTAAATTGGCTCCAAGAGCAAAATGATGCACATAAATGTCTGAAATTTATGTTTCCTTGAGAAGAAACTGAAATCAGCAATGATTTTCAGATTCCTATTACATTTGGTCTTGTCTTCTCTAGCCTAACCTCTCTAGGAATCTAAGCTTCATGTGGCAATTGATTAAAAACATTTTTCCTCAAGAAGTAATAATAAAAGGTTTCATCATCCAACTTCTGTTTAAAAACAATGGCACAAGGAGAAAATTACCAGATCCATGTTTGTAGCTACTGACTACTATAAGGATCAATCTGAGAGGTTTGGAAGGATTTCCCCTAAAGCAGGAAAAGCCATCAAAAAGGCAATGTGTGAGGCAGAAAAAGAAAAAAAAAAATCACTGAAGAGAAGCCTGCATTTCTCTTTAATCTCTTTAATGAGGATGGTTTTGAAAATACCTTTGGTGGTTGTGTGTAGGCTTGTTGCATGCATTTATTACAGAAGAGTTATAAACTACACCTTTTCCTTAGTTTTTCAGCCTGGGTGTATATTGAAAATTTTCTTCCTAGGATTTGGAAAGCTGCTTAGCACAGAAGTGATTTTTCCACTGTTTAATTCCACTAACACATAAGCCTATGACAGATATTTTTGATAAAGAAGAGAGGGGAAAAAAAACCCAACCGAATTGTAAATAAATAAATACCTTGTCTTAGGTGAGGCTTTGAGGTAAAAGATACTTGGGTTACTCACACCACTGAGTGTGCAAATCTCATAGAACAAGCGATCCACACCGCGGAAGGTTTTGTGCTGGGGACTGATTCTGTGTCCCTTACACAAGGCCAGCAGTCACCACTCTCCAGATCCATCATTTAAAACTTTGATTTGTGCTCTTAGAGGCCAGACTTGGAGGAGCAGGGTGCTGTTGGGCTGGGGTTCTGCTCAGACCCTGCACAGCTTCTGTGAAGAGTGGATTCTGAGGAGAGCTGTGACCTGAGACACTTCTTTGGATGCTGTTTGTCCTTCAGAGTTTTTGTCTCGGGCCCGAGGCTGGCTGAGGTGCTGCGGATGTGGCATCAGGTGTTATGAAAATCAAGGGCTGGCTCTGAGCCCTTGGCCTCTTTCCTGCTCACCTCAGACACTAAAGGCACCACCAGCGTGTGCATTGGGCTTTTCCCCTCGTCAAAAAGATGAAGGCTCTGTGTCAGTGACAGCACATCCAGAGTCCTGCTTGGATGCCCCAGGAGAAGATATTTCCCACGTTCCTGACTTTCCACTATACGCAGCCTTCAATTGTTTTATTTCCCAGTTTGTGCCATGGGCCTGGGCAATGTTCATCTCTCATGGTAGGGAAAAATGAAACAGGAGGGGTGGCCAGAAGTCCAGCTCCTGGCACAGGTCTCTGTAGCCTTTTCCCTGTACATGGACATGTAATGAGCTTTGTGTGGAGACCTTGTGGAATAAATGTGAATATAAAAAGGGTATTTAAGGGTTACTATCGAGTTTTTCAGGCAAAAAAAAAGGACATCTTTGCATCAGCTGTCCTTGATGGAAGAGTGTGAGTGTCCTAAAAGTATTGTAAATATTTCCAGTGTGACCAGACAGGCATCCACAGAACTCCAGCATGCTGAGATGAGATTCCTTCTGGGATCTGGACAGAGATTCTTCTCTTTGTAATCTGTTCAGGTTTGTTTCTAGAAACACTGATCACACTCAACAAATACCTGTGAATTGCTTAGATTGTTCAAAGACTCCTCTATTTAATGATTGTTTGCTAGTTTGTTGCACAAGGCCATCTAAATTCTGGGTTTGGCTTTGGTATTGCTTTTCTTGCCTGCTTTTTGCATCATTTACACTTGCATAAGAAGGAGTTGAGAAGGTTGAAGAGATTTCAAGATGGCCACACAAACACTTCTGGCACAGAGTTTTCTATGAAGACATATTTACACAATTATCCAGAAGTCCTTTGCATACCTTGAACAGTTTTTCATAAACTTGAAAAAAAAATTAAACCGCATTTTCCCAGACAATGAATGAAGGGGCTACAAGCAACATCAAAGCAAATGCGGGTGTGGTTTATTCTTAAAGCATTGCAAATATTTCCTTTTTTTTTCCTTTTATTTTATCTTTTTACAGAATCCTCCCAGCTGTATTCCTGCTAAATTCACTTAGAACCAAATAAGCATTTCACAGTTTTGGGGGACATTACTTTAACATCTGGTTTTATTTCCTTGTTAATTCCTTTTCCCGACTCTGAACATAAAATAGTCAGGAAAGTATGATTTCAAGGGTAGCAGGTTTGCATACTTTGAAAAAGCACCATTTTAGTTTATATACTTAATCTCAGAACAAAACAATAAGAATGAAACTCTAAAGATCATATAATTGATATACAGAGATTTTACTTTTGTGTGCAAATATATTGTTCCTGAGATTAGAAAGGGAAAATATCTGAGGACTTGTACACAATAAAAAGGTGCACGTGAGACAAGGTCCTGGGGGAAACTGTTTCAAGAGTTAGTTGTAGGTTGTGACAACAATGCTGAAGGAAAATGTTTTGAAGTATAATATTGTGCTATGTACACAGAATATTGGGCTATTTTCTCAGAAAAGTGCAATTCCTGCCTCAATGGAGAGAGAACTTATACAGGGATTTGTCAAAAAAGAAGCCACAGTAAACAGGGCATTGAAACATAACAATACTTTTTCTATGCTAATATTTTTTTTAATTCTGATATGTAGATTACAGTCAGATTTATAAGTTTAATATATTTTTAAAATATATGTTTATATAAAATTCACCTTTGTTTAGATTTAAAGAGGAGTATTTCTGAACTTGGACAGTATCAGTGACAAAAGGAGGGATGAAAGTTCTGCACAACACCACTGGCTCCTGCATCCACAGAGACACTTCTGTTCTTGCTTTTCACAGGCTGCCACCAAGTTTTTCAAAGGAAGCTGGGGAGAAATAGTGGCACCTTGTAGATTTTCTCCTTTTGCTTGATTGTGTGTGATTTTTCTTACAGGGAAAAGACAGGAAAGAAACAGCATGGACCAATCAGTTAATTACGTATAAATGCAGAAAAATAGACTCCGAACCCTTTGTCCTTTATTAAATTTATTGTTTCCTTTGGTTTGTGCTTGTGCTAGCAGCTTGAAGCTTTATTGGAAACATTCATAAAGCATAGTGACAAACTTTTGTCTCTTCATAGCCCTACTCTGGGATATTTATTCCTGGGACCAAACTGGAAAGTGGAATTTTATGGGGTTGGTAACGCAGAAAGCTCATCAACAATTTGCTGCTCCCTTCAGAAGCTATCAAAAACCATAATTTTTTTTTTTTCCTCCCCAGTTATCCAGTTTGGCTTTGTCACACTCTTTGTTGCCTCCTTTCCTCTGGCCCCTGTCTTTGCACTTCTGAACAACATCATCGAGGTTCGTCTTGATGCAAAAAAATTTGTTACTGAGCTGAGGAGGCCAGACACAGTGAGAGAAAAAGATATTGGTGAGTAATCAAAGAGAATTGCAGTGAAGATAAGACCAAAAATACAATTAAACAAAGAAAAAAATTTATAATGAGCCCATTAATATTTTTTTTTTCTTTTACTTACAGGTATTTGGTATAACATCTTGAGTGGTATTGGAAAGCTTTCAGTGATTATTAATGTAAGTGTTTGGTACAGCCAGTTTCTAACCATGATCTTGGGAGCTTCTACTGTTCCTTCAGTGTAATTTAAAATTCTTTATAATTTATTGTTTACAGTTCCTTCAACATAATTTAAAAGCAGCATCTAATTTTCTCAGTTGCTCCAATACAACAGAATACAGATATATTATGTTTATTGTGCTGTATGTACTCCCTAAGTAAAATTTTCCTCTATATGCTTTAAGATAAAAAATCTCATGCCCTAGGACTTTAATCATAATAGTTTCTAGTGGGTTTTTACCCTACAGATCAGAATACCTTCAAGGTCATGGAATAATACCAGAGATATTAAAGGTATCAAAGCCCTTTAGAAAGGGAGGTGATTTTCACTACTGAAGGGAGAACTTGTGGAGAGGTGTTTTTTAAACTAGTGATAAACCTCCTAGTGGCTCCAGTGATCAAAACAATTGGAGCAATGTACAGTCCATTAATTGCTTTTGCTACTTCCCTAGCTGAGCCTTCCCTTGGAGAGACAGAGCAGGTCACTGTGCAAATATTCTGTACCAATTCTGGCCATATAACTCCCCCTTCATTCTGTACCAATTCTAACCATATAACTCTCCCTTCACCACTACTCTAAATTTACCTGAACATGAAATTTTTCTCCTGAATTACTTAACCTGGAGACACAGATTCACAATGCTGTTGTTTGCTTGTTTGTTTTTTGTTTGTTTGTTTGTTTTTCCATCTCTCAGGCTTTTGTCATTGCTGTCACCTCCGATTTCATCCCACGCCTTATGTATCAATATGCATACAGCCAGAATGGAACCATGCATGGCTTCATCAATCACACCCTCTCATACTTCAATGTCAGCCAGCTCAAGGCTGGGACACAGCCAGAAAACTCCCTGTTTGGTCAGGAGGTTTCATTCTGCAGGTAAGGTACTTATAAGGGCAGTTTGCACAGTCGAGGGAACTTTCTTGGCTTTTATGTAATTTTTCAAAGTGGGAATTGATAAAATTCACTTATTTGGCCACATATTCAGCAATATTCTTGTGCCTTTGAAAATGTGGTAATTTGGAAGTTCTGCTTTATATTTTCACTGTGTTACAAAGTCTTTAAAAGGGTTTTTTTCAGGGCATTAAATGGCAAAATAAACAATTTAGACAGACTTGATCCTCAGAAGAAAGCAAACTAACACTTTCTTTGCTGAAAGATACAGCTTTAATTAAAAATAATGATTTTTTTTTTTTAATGGACACCCAGTAATTAGAACCAGGCTTTCGCTGTCTTTATTAAATTCAGTCCTTACTTGCTGAGATATCAATTTTCAATATAATATGCCCATCTTTAGAACCTGCACCAGTCACCATGTACTTGTTTGCTATTTCAGATACATCTTTTCTGATTGGGTAAACAAGGCTCCACTTCATTTAAAATATGTTCCAAATACCAGATACCTATAGATTAGTTCCAGTTTGCATGAGAAATCACTAATGTGGGTCCAGCTTTCAAAGTAACTTGGTATTTTTATAATAATATGCAGAAATTCAAAAAGGTGGTTTAAGGAATTACAACCCCCAGCCTGTCTCCCCTTCCTTCTTCTCCCTTGAAATCCCCCTGTGCTTGGTCTCGGCAATGGCACAAAATTATTATAAAAGTTCCTCTTCCATTTATTTAAAGATAGCCTGAATGTAGAGTGATTTTCCTTGCTTTGATTTGCAATATATTTCAGTGATTTTAAGTGGGGTATATATCTTGCCCAACTATAACCCACAAAATGACACCCCCCAGTTTCTTCACTGGAAGATGGGAGAGAAATCTGTCCCTGTCACTCTGGCAGTGCTGTTGGGATTGCCTTTGGGGGGAACCTACCTTCTCACCTTGACTACAGCACGGGATAGATGAATGCACTCCTAACTTTTAATCAACTTATAAGCATATGAGCTCTGCAATTCCCCATTTCTGCTGCTGGGACTTGTTTATTAGCAAAGTATTCCCTATTAGAGTATGCAGCATCTCTGGACTTTCAGATTTGTAAGTCTATGAAATGCTTTTCCACTCTCACTCTAGCACGTTTTAATTTTTCATCCCTAAATTCGCATGTGTGTTCCTTCAACAAGCATCTTGATCCACTTCACTGTGATTTTGCTCCTTTCACTATGCTCCTTTTTACCTTGTTCCATCCACTGGCCTCTGTTTGTAGATGTTTAAGTGCCGGTATGTTTGGAAATATGTTCATTAACAACAGGGTAAAAGGCACTCCTCACATTAGTTTGGTCATGCACAGACAAATACTCAACAGAGCCCAAATACAGGGAGGAGGGAATTATCTACACTGTGTACAAAAGTGGTCCCTTCCTGATGACACCCTCTAAGAGACTGAGAAGAGGACAAAAATTAATGTTTGACCACGTGTTAGTCTGACTGAGACAGAACTATGGGAACATTTCTCTTATCAGGAAACAATTGGGAAAATATGTCAGCATCCACAAACACTGTTTCTCATTATCATCTGCCTCATTTGAATCTTATCAAAATCTCAGCTTTGGACAGAACTATCACTCTGATAAAGTACGGGGTCTCTAACTGGCGTCCCAAGAGACAGGCAACCACACGCTGCCCCTCGAGCTGGAAATAAAATCTGTATTTCTGTTTCTGGCAAATGCATTGGGAACAAACTGACCTCTCTTATTCTTAGATTTCTGTGACCTCTGGAGATAAATGTGGTTGTAATGGGGCTGCATTTTTCTCCTTACGGGCATTGCCAGAGATTAAGGTATCTTAAAAATAACCGTAACAGGCCAGAAACAACTCTGAACATACAGAATACATTCTTCAAATATTTAGAGCAGCATTTTCTGCAGTGCTGTGAACTCTTTGGCACTGCTTCCAAATAAAGGTTGCAGCAAAGCTGTTCTGATGCACAGCATTAGTTGTAATTTTACTTTTTTTTCTTTCAGGGAAAAATGGCATTTGAATAGCTGAAGTCAGATTAGAAGCAAATCTTGCTAAGATATGGGGTATTTTTATTGGTTTTTCCCTTTTAATCCTTGTAGCCTTGTATGATGATGGAGTACACACAAACCTACTGGTCACACTGAAAAAAGGAAGCAGCAGATATGGAGTCATTCAAGGGACTTTTCCTTTAGCATGGGTCTGCTGCAACATTCAGCAACTTGATAAAAGTGTCTTTGAATTTATTTTCTTAATGTTATGGGATTCATCTCATCTATTCCTAATGATCAGTATTGGATGCTAACATTTTTCCCTGACTAATTTTTTTATACTCCTGCACTACTGCTTCTGTGATTATGGATGTTTTCTCCAATTTCTTCTCAAGGCCAGCTGAAGAAGGAAATTAAACAGATTAGTTTATTTGCACTGATTTGAAATTCCACCTATATACAAAGTTAGAATTTTTTTTTACCAGTCTTCCCCCCCCCCCCCTTCCCAATAAACTTCTGAAATACATTAACATCTTTGTCTTAGCTCTGGCTCCAATTCTCTCCACCCAGGTTCCCCTCCCCTACAATTCTCTACTTTCAGTGTACATTTTTTAATTATTCCTTATAACTTTTTTGTGCTCTATTCTTCAACCATATTGACCACTTCATATTCTTGTCCTTTTTCAGTGGAATTACAGTTGCTTGTTATTTTGGAAACACAATGGTCTTTGCAGCACTGGTTGGTTGCTGTTCCTACCATACCTGCTGAATCAAATATTTTAAGAGTGAAGCATTGAAGAGGTGAGGGAATCAGAGAGTCATGGAATATCTTGAGTAGGAAGGGACCCACAAGGGTCATCAAATCCTGACCCTGTACAGAAGACCCCAAAAAGCACACCTGAGAGTATTGTCCAGATGCTTCTTTAGCTGAAAAGATGGTCTTTGTAAAAAAGACCTACCTGTAGAATCTAGGGGTTAGAGAAGGCCCTTTGCAGTCCCATGTGCCAGAGAATAATTAAAAAAAGGAGGTGGGGAGGAGACCCAGCTCCCTCATCTATAGCTCTGGCAACATTTTTCTTCGCCATAAATCATTTGCTAGTGTTCTGTTGAGTGTAGGTTCAGGCATCACAAGCAGTGTGATTCCCAGCTGAACCAGGTGAAATTTCCAAGGTGTCTGATGTCCTGCAACACTTACATAGTCTGTGAAGCTCAAAATGCATTAAATGGAATACCCACCACAGTTGGTGACACTTCCAGGTGAACCTGGGCTCCGTTTCAAGACTGAGATTGATTTATAGTGGTCAGCAAAGTCCACAAGAATCTCAGTTGCTTTCCTTGGCTTTGATGTTCAAGCAGATTAAGTTCAAGGGAACTGACTTTGACCCTTGATGCAGCATTTGTATAGATGTGAGCAACATGTGGAAGTCCACAATATCCAGAAAAGTACCAGAAGGAGGATCTGGCAGTGCAGGAGCAGCACAAGAATTGTAAGAAAGGACCTCTGCATGCACTGCTGAGCAAAACCATCCAGGGGCTAACACAGCCCAGGGAGTTTTTCCCTAAATTAACACAGCACCCAATTTAAAGTAGTTTTCTCCTCCCTGTGGGCTGTACCTTGTGTCCTTTGTCTCCAGAAGCTGCAGCACAGAATGACATCCAGCATTCCAGACTCAGTTTCTTGGGGGTAGGGAGCAGCAGGATGTAGGGGATGTGTGGACTGCAAATGTGTAGTTTAGCATGTAAAACCATGTGGGTAGAACCTGAAGGTAATTTTGGCAAGCACACCTGCAAACTGAAGCTGACAGATTTTATATATGAACCTTCTCCATTATCCCCCAATGGAGGCTTTTGCACAGTCTAATGAATCTTACTGTCAGGACAGGTTTTGTGGTATTCAAAACAGATTTTCCCTTTCTTAATTTCATCCCATTACTCCTAGTCAAACACTGGGAACAGCAGTAAATTATTCCTTCCAGTCCTAAGGGCACAATTTGCACATGGTTATCATGTCCAACTGGGGCTGTTACTTACCAAAGTGGAGCAATGCATGTGCTGCTCTTTAATCTTCCCGATGAGTCAGTCTCCTCAGCCCTTGTACTGTTCTCCTGAACTACCTTCAATTTGTTGCTATCTTTTTCTTTGGTTTCCCTTTTTTTTTTTTTTTATCTTCCACTCCCCTCTGGAATCTGCACAGCCAAATGGCTGAATGCAGCAATCCAGGTGTGGATTCACCTGGGCTGTTCAGAGGAAGGCTAATTTCCCACCCCAGCACCATTGTGACTTTGGGTGATACACCCACAAGTCATACACTGTCCTGCTGCCATATTTCAAACTTGTGCTAACTTGCTAGCCTCTGCAAGCTCCAGGCTATTTCCACTTTCAAACACTATCCCTTCAAATGTTTTATTTTTAATTATTTTCCATTTCCCCGTATTATTCTCATTGTGTTTCCTGTCTCTATTTCTTTTTGCTTTCTGTGTTTCCTGCTATTTGCAAAACTTTCCAATTTAGGAGCATCTGTGATTTTTATTAGCCTGTTGTTTATTTCCAAATGATTGATGATAATACTAAAAGCAACAGTCTTTACACCAAACCACTAAGGCTCTGTTTTATCCTGTCCAAGGCTAGACAGTTAATTTAGGAAGTGCCTTCCCCATGGCTCCCCCTTTCGTTAATGAAAAGACAGGAATCACAAAAGCATGAGTCGCATTTTAAGTGAGCTGAATTATTCCATAAATTAATTAAGTTTTAGGTGAAATGAATGCAGGTTTATCTCCTTTAGTCTGAAAATGCCTTGGACTATCTCTCTGCTTTAATTTCAGCATTTTATTCCCTGTACATTGATGTAAATTTACATTAAAAAAATAAAGGGGATTTCTGTCAATCCTCTAAAATTTGGATATTTCCAATGTTAAAACAATGTTCTGATTTTGGTTACAACTGTGAAAACCAGACTAAGTGTGTTAAATTCAGTGGAGGTAGTCCAGCTCTAATTCTGAAGCTGTATTTCATAATAAGGGTTGAAGTAAGAACATCTGGAGGATTTGGTTCTTTGGGTTTTGTGACTGGAAAATCACATTAATCACAGCAATTGGTGCTGGAGGAAATTGCTGGAACTGTGATAACTGAGCTGTCTCCATCTCCAGGTTCAAAGACTACAGAGAACCACCTTGGTCCCCACATCAGTATGAGTTTTCTAAGCAGTACTGGGCAGTCTTGTCAGCTCGCTTGGCTTTTGTGATTCTATTTCAGGTAAGTCTGCTGAGTTGCTTCACTTTCAGGCACAGAAATATCATCATAGGTGAATCCAAATGTGTGTTCCAAAGCAGCCCTTGTCCAACAGACATGGAAAGCAAGACCCACAGTTTCCTTAGCCTTTAGCATTAGCATTGATCCCCAAAATGCCCCAGGCTTTTAAATGTTTAAGTGGATTTTGTCAACTTTTACACTCTCTGTGGTACCACTTGTAAAAACACATAAATGCTATGTAAGCTTGTTAACTACTGTTCTTTACCCAAAGCAAGAAATAGACAGAAGTATTAAATCCTCCAAGGTTTTTTGCTACTTTGTTGAATGGAGCACAGTAAACTGTCCCCAGTGTGAGGGTTTCATTAGCAAGGGATTTGCTATCATGTCTTGCCTTTCCAATGGCTTCCTTTTACCCTCCTCCATGATCTGGGATCCTTCCACAACCAAATTGGGCCCATCTGTCTTTTTCAAATCTGCCTTTATTTTGTCCCCACCTGGCAATTGCTCCCAAGAGTTTCTGTGAATCTTGCCTGGTTTGTATTGCCCTCTTCTGATTCTTTGCCATGCCTTCAGTAATTTTCCACCACTGGCTGCAAAGCTCTTGAAAGGAACTGGTTCTTCTGGGCTTCAAACCCTCTGCCTGCTCTGCCAGAGAACATTCCCTGGTTAATTAGCTCCATTGTCTCGGATGGGGACAGAGAGTTCATGCTAGCAGCCCTGTCAGCAAACTGCCCTCACACATTTCCAGGCATTACACAACACAACAGTCTCAAAGCATCATCATGGCAATGCAAACCCCTGAAGCATTGCTTATCTATGGATTTCACAAGCAAGCAAAACCTTTTGCCCAGTCTGCTTCCTGCTTGATGTTATGAGCAGCACCTGCAATCACCTTGACACCTCAGGTTTGGGGTTTTGGCTTGCACACTGTGGTAGTGTAAAAAACAATCCTGCTTCTCAGCAGGCAGAAGGATTTGAGGACAGAATGGCCATGAAGGTTGTCTGCTGCATGCTCAGGCCACACTGGAAACACACAGGTATCTTTGCTTTGTGTTTCAGAGTTTTGGATGGTATTGGAGGATGTCCTTATATTAATGGATTCTGAACTCAGTATCAAGGAATTGGATATTGAGAACTATGCACCTTTGGATGCCTGTAAAGAATAATGTTGATTTAGCTACTAAGGCCATGGATTATTTGATGATTCCATGTCCTTTCCTATTTCAAACCTACCTGAAGCACGTGTTTAATTCAGTCTCTACATTGTGCTGTGCACAGCACTGTAGCTGTGCACAAACTTGAGCTGTTTCTTGAAATAAAGCCTTAATCAACTGCTTACTACCACACACCACCAGCAAAATGTGTTTGACATCTGTCTCATAGCTATAACAAAGGTTTGGTTTTGCTCCAGTGTGAGTATTTTGGATTTTTCATGCTCGCTTCACATCTGTTGCTGTGCTTGCAGAACCTGGTGATGTTCCTCAGTGTTCTGGTTGACTGGATGATCCCTGACATTCCCAAGGACATCAGTGAACAGATCAAAAAGGAGAAGACCATGCTTGTTGACTTCTTCCTGAAGGAAGAGCACGAGAAGCTGAAGCTGATCGAGAGCTTCATGGCACGCGACAAGCGGAAGCGCAGGAGCGGGAGCAAAGGCAGGAGGAGCAGGGCCGCCAGCTTCTCCCAGTGCCACCGCAGCCCCAAGGGCAGCTCCAGCTCCTTCAGCTCCCAGCACACCGTGGTGTGACTCCCGAGGGAATGGAACAGCCTGTGCTTGCCTCTGCTTGCTGCCTGATGTGATTCTGAGCCTCAACAAGGGAGGGAGAGAAGGGACAGGGAGAAAAGGAGGCTCTTTTGCTTCCTTAGGATCTCCAGATGTGAGGGGCTCTGTTACAATTGAACAGCATTTCCAGATTTTGTCAGTGTGAGATTGGGGCTATACTGGGGCTGTGGCTGGTTCCTGTGGTGACAATGCATGCAAGTTGGGGAGGCATGCAGGAATTCTCCTGGCAGGAATTCCCCTGGCAGCCATCCCTCCTCCTGCAGGTGCTCCTGCTTTAGTCTCCATCCTTGGGCAGGTTGGGTTGACCTTGGAGAAGGACTGACCATGGAGAAGTGCACACACCTGATGGTCTCATTGGCTGTAGCTGCCAGTGGAGGGTTTGCATACATGTGGAGCCTCGAGGAGTCTTTGTGCCTTCCTAACCTACGCTGCCACAGGGTGCCACCTCTGGAGGGCACACAGGGCTCTGGGAGATGTGGGAAGAGAAGAAATTTAAATCACTGGGCACTTGCATCTATGGATATATTGTTCTTTGCTTAGCAGGAGCTGGAATGCATGTGCTGGTGAGTAGGGAGGCCATCAGAATGGCTGAAGGTCTTTGGCACCCATTGTCCTGAACAAAAAACTAAAAACCAAACCTTGCATGTTGGATTCTCCTCTCATTCAGTCTTGGAATTCAGCCAGTGTCAAGAAGAATCATGACACTGAACCACCAGTGCAAAGCTGAGGAGTGAGAATGGAATCGAGCCCTGGAAATCATGTGGCATCTCAATGTACACTGCATAGAAAGTAACAAAAATTGCTGCTGTTGTGATTTACTGTAAAGTAATATATTTTGCAGAATTGCATTTCACGGGAAGATATACATATTCACTAACCAAGCTACAAGCATTTAAGGAATAACTTTACTCTGTCATGAATGAAAAATTTTCTTTAAAAATCTGTTTCTTTTCCTGTTGATTTTGTCTCTAACTCAGCTTGAAATTCAGAGTCTGGACAAAAGTTTTTTTCTTCTCATTTTGTCTTCTCAACAATACTTTCAAAATCAGAAAAAATACAAACCAAAAGAAATACTTCATCCTCAGCCATTCTACTCAGGATTGGTCTTTAACATAATAATCTTATTTTATATATTTCTGAAGCCTAAGATTTTACTAATGTCTTAAATGAAAAGATTTTTCTCTGTGACAACTTTTGGTACATAATGAGAGGTGCAAAAATAATTTCTTTTTTTCATTAAGTGCCCAAATTAAGGCACATCAAAATGGGAGAACTGTTTCAGGGTGGCTGAAATGAAAAAAACAAATTTTTGGAGTTTCATTTTTAAAATTTACTTTTGGGTTATTTATTCCTTCCACATAGAAATGGAATTTGAAACTGTAATGTCATCTGGAATAAAATTGCAAATGTTTAACTTTCTTGAAAAAAAAAGTCAGTCCTCTCCAAATATTTTCCTCTTCTTCCCTGTCAAAACTCCTTGTTTTGTTCTGTTTTAATTTTGTTAGGTGATTGAATGATTTGTTTGTTTGTTTGTTTGCTTTTTAAGTCTTTGGCTCCCTCATGGAAACCTGTGACACAGCTGAGACATAACTTTTGATTTCCCCCCCTAAGCTCAACATTTAAATGAGGGAACTGTATCTCCTCAAAAAGAAATTGTCTCATTTTACTTTCAAAAGGCCAACAAAACCCTGTCGGGGATTCCATGGTCTAATGTATTAAGATAGTCAATATTAATGATATCTATTCCCTCTTTAACACCAAGGGGATGCTCTGCCAGTGGACCTGGGGATTTGAAACTGTTGGGGCTTTGGAAGTATCTATGTTTGTTTTTTGCAACCCTATTTTTTTGAAATTCAGTCAATTCTCTTCACTCCAAAAAGCCTCTGATGGGGAGAAATTATGCTTTTCAACAGTAGAAATATCAATCTTATTTGTCATAATTCTTCCTCTCCTTTTTCCAGGAATGCAGGAGGGTGTGCAGAAATGGATTTAGAAGGGAGCTGCATGCAGGTTGCACGGCGATGAAGGATATTCAGAATTAAGGGTTTCCTTAAAATAGCACCATTTTGTACATTTTGTACACCCTCTCTCCACCCAGGAAATACCTTTTTAAAAACTCTGAGTCACTCCAAAGCAGTCAGAAAAATGTTATCCCAAAGTCGAGTGCATTAGGCTGCTGTTACACAGGATTTCCATAACAAGCAACCAAAATGCTTGCTGTGGTCCAAAAATGATAAAGTTTTTCTAGATTTCCTGGCACAAGGAACCAGAGAAGGCAGCAGATGTACACTGATGCTCTGCAAGTTCTCCTGAGGTCACCCAAACAAGGCTGGGAAAGAGGCACGGCAGCAATCCTGGCTGATGTCCAGATGGGATCTCCTCTGATATCACAAACAGGACAGGCAGCTCAGTTATCTTTATCTCTGATACGCTCGCTGTTTCCCCCTTAAACTTGAGAGTTTCATTCACTGAGGATTCCTGCACGTTTGGTACCTGACTCAGGTGCACTCCCTGAGGATTGCACCCTTTGTTGCATTTCTATGGCAAACTCTGGATTCTCCTGACACCGCTTCCCATCAGCTGCTGTAATTGTAGATCACTGATCAGGTATTCGGCCATTCTCAGGTTCCAGCTTATCTTTTTTGGACAAAGCCAGACTTTATCTGCCCCTTTTTTATCAGCAGGACAATTGTAAGTCTACCCACAGAGCTCCCCCTTGCCATAAGCTGTGCTTCAGAAGCAGAGAACGGCTGTTCCAGGAGATGTGCATGGGGAGCTCTCCATGGGGACCAAAGGGATAGGGATGCAAGTAGAGGCACAAAGGTAACAAAACCTGTGGGCTATTGTCACTCCTTACTTTAGCAATGAAATCCAGCTACTAAAATCTCTGCAGGGAAAAGGGGAAAAAAAAGACAGTGGAGGACGAATTGCATACAGATTTAGTGCAGAATTTCATAGCTGTTTTGCACCACTCCAGATATTAAGTGGAAACCCCAATTAAACAGGCAAACAAATGAAAAGCAGAATGTCTGTGTGTGTGAGTAGCTAACACCACACTGGGTGCTCCAGCTAGTCCCCAAACCTCCAGATCCACACTCTAGTATGCATGGAGCCTCATCAATAGGAACATTTGAACCTGCACATCTAATTAGAGCAATGCAAATAGGAAGCAACAAAAAGGAGGAATGGAAGGAATGGCTGGTATAGAGCTTTACCAGCTCCAGCTGGATGTGACCCTGTCAGGTCAGGCAATGTGAGGTGTGTTTACCTGTCCAGCAGAAACTCCAGAGTTTGCTGCTCCTTTTACCACAGCTTCTCCCTGGGTCTGGTGGTGCAGGGTAGTTTCAAACAGCTTTCAGGAGTTATTCAGGACAAGAAATGGACCCAGATGAAAGGAACTCCCTGCTCCAGAGTCACTCCATACTCAAATACCATCAGTTGGAGGATCTGTCTGATCCACACAGCCACGTGAAACCTCTCACTGTGCTGATCTCTCATTTTAAAGGGGTTTTTCAGGAACTGAGTGAAGCTGTGGGAATGTTGGCCTTTTCTGTCATGTCTTCTTCATGCAGACCTGCCCACTTTTTTAATCATCAGCCCTAGACACTTTTTTTTTTTTTTTTTTGTGATGGATATCACTGGCTTTTCAGTCCTCATCTCAGGATATAAAAAACTTTGCTCTCTAGACCACTCCTGCAACTCCAACATTCATGACACTCAAACCCTTCCTTTTTCCAAGAAGAAAAGGGTGACCTCTGTGGAAGTCTGCCTGTTAAATAAATGGCTGGAAATACCCAGTCCACCATGCACAATATTCACCACTGTTAGCAATAAACTCCTCTGACTACAGCAATATAACATCTGTTGCTGCTCTGCAGTCTCACCCTTTAATTAACCACAGATGGTCTCTCTGTTCCCCGTCTGGTCTAATTATTTTGCTTTTGAAAAGAAAATATAAACCAGTTTTGTTTGTGAGCTGTTCTTTGTAGGTAAATTCCTGCACACCTTGTACTGGATAAGATGTAAGATGTCTTGTGTGTCCAGAAACACAAAATTTCAGATATAACAGTAGAATTGCATTTAAATCTAGGAGAGGAGGAGGATTTACACCTGAACTCCCAATTCTTACCTTGCAAGGGCCACCAGTCCATGGTTCATCTGAAAGGCCTGAAGACAATAGAGGCTGAATAATATTTTAGCAAAAAAATGAGTACAGAGTCTGTATGCACCACATGCATCTTTTTCAAGGTAAGGTCTGCATGAGTTTTTTACTAAATGTGTTTTATCTGTCCTAAATCCCCCAGTACTACCAAAACTCTGAATATTCCCTGCAGTTCCCATCCTTTACCCTCATCTGCAAATGTATTCAATTATTAATTGATTATTCAATTATTAATGGCTGCATTAATTAACAGGGTGCCTTGCTGCCTCTTTCCCACCCCCAGAAGAATTGTTAAAATCAACCAGATTCCATAACAACTGCTGAGAGAGACTGATAATTCTCTTTATTTGTGCACAATGACCTAAGGAAATATTTTTATTTTTGTGTATTTTCAGTTGCTTGTTGACACAATCCTGCAGCTTTATTTTCCCTGATTCTTAGGACTCTCACTAAAAACAAGTACTCTATTGACAATGTTTCCAAGCCACTCCTGGTTCCACAGATATAGCTTCAACGAGCAAATTGATTACTATCAAAGGATTATATATGTCTCTAATGCAGCCACCTGAGAAAAGACAGAATCAAACCTCACTGGAACCAGTGGAAATCTTTATTTTGGCTTCAGTATCACCTTGAGCTGAGGGTTTTTTTTTCTCTATTCAATTCTGTGTGCAGCTTTTAACCAGCTAGGTAGAGAAATTGGGATAGCAGTGGAAAAATATTCATCCCCAGCACACTTCCATTACTGTGGCCTTCAGTGAGCCCCAGTGTGGAAATTGTGCACTGCCAGCAGCTTGGGATTTGACCCTGCATTTTCCAGAGATGGGATCACCCTCCAAGACTGGCTGCCCAATTTTGTCTGCATTTATCCTGATGTTAGGGCTGGCTTTAGTGAACTTGATTTTCAGAACTGTGTTCCATGTGGGAAGGACTTAAGGCAGACACAACTGTGAGTCACTTTTGAAAGCTTATCAGCCTTGAATTTAAATATATAAGGACTACTGACCCAACATCTGGTTAAATCTGTGCAGTTTATGTCACAGATATCAATGCTTATATCAGGCTCCCTGTTATCTAACATTGTAGTGTCTGATTTTGGTAACTACAGGGATGCAATTAACAGGGATCACAATTTAAACAGCATTTAAACAGAGAGTCCTCTCCTAATGAGCTCATTCTTAAGAGGATTATTTTCCCAGAGCTTTTCCAGTAGCCACTTTAAATAAGGGACGAACAAACATGCCAGTAGTCTTATATTCAATCTTACAGGTGAACCTTTTCTTCTGGCATCTAGTTTTTAGTTTTTCTCCCATCTATTATGAAGCTTTTTTCAAATTATCATTATTTTTAACATGACAGCTATATATGACTTGTACAAGTCAAATCTCAACTAAATTCAACAAAGCATCCTCTGTTGATGCTAGGAGAGGGTTTTGACTTGTTTTTGTTGTTGTTTTGCTACATCTAATCTTTTGAGATACAGCAACATATTTTCCTAAGAGTTTGGAAACACAGGAGGTCAGTAAGGACATAGCCCTGTGAGGATATTTAGATCTAGAATTGTATTCTTACTGCCAGGACTGATTAAGAACCTGAAAAAGGGGAAAATTTATTTTACAAAATGTGGACTTAGCTACAAAACCAAAATAAATCAACAATAAAGACTGGATTAAGAACTTTATTTTTTCTTTTTCTTTCTTTCTTTTTTTTTTTTTTTTTTTTTAATCAAGAATTAATAAATATACCCCTGACCTACTTTGTTTATTCCAATGACATGTAGAACTGGTTCCAGTAGATGGAGCAAGAAAGCAGAAGGAAAGCAATGCCACATACCCAGGGCATTCAGTCAGAGGAGATGGATATTGAGCCATAGAATTGTTTGGGGTGGAAAGGACTTTTAAAATAATCATATCCAACGTGTTCATGGGGCAGGACATGAACTGCACACAGGTTCACAGAACAAGCTTCAAAGCATCAGAGGAAAAAGCCCTCTGAGAGTTACCCATGACTTCAAGTTCAGTCAGGAACACTCTTCACCTAACTGACACTGACAGGAGTTTTTCCTTGGAATTGGCTTAGTAGCTGAAGAAAAATAACTTGGGATTTTCTCCAAAGCCAAGAAAATAGATTAATTATAACTGGCTTGTTATTCTCTTGGCTTTAGTGAGATTACAGCAGCTTAATCCTTCAGCAAAAGCTAATGCTGTGGAGAAGTATTAAAAGAGACAAGCTTTACATCTCCCATATGATCTCCAGCCTCTTATTTCTC